TCTGGCCTGGTTCTAATTGCTAACAGAATTTAGTTCAGTACTCACAGAATTAGGACTCTACTGAATTAGGCAAAACTATTCATCAAAATTATGTTCATAGCACATATACATGTAGGCTCTTATTAACTATTTTCTTTAGTTAAGACACTTTTGGTTTTAAGTGACCAAACACCCAATGAAAAAGTGGCTTAAGAAAAAGAATATTTCTGAGTAACTGAAAAGGCTAAAAGAATATTCAGTTTCTCAGGCACAAATGGATTCAGGGCCCAGGCACGCTCATTGGGTCTGGGTCTCTCTTTGTGCCTCAGATTGGCTCCATTCTTGGATAGGTTTTTCCCTCGTGGCAGCAGTGTGGTTTCCAGCAAACCCAGATTTATAGAGTCATAGGCCTGTGTCTATTTCTCCTTTGCAGCAGTTTGACAAAAGTCTTAGACCTGACTCTCATTGAGTCAGATGTTTAACCCTGGGTCCATTGCCAAGGGCGGGGAGATATGATGCTCTGATTGGTGGCAACTGGGCCACATACAAAACTTTAGAGCCGAGGGCAGAATCAAGACCATCAAACCTCAAGAATTGAGAGTGGAGAAGAGGCGCCTCCCAGAAAAAGATCTGGTACTGTTACTAGAAGAAGAGCAACTATTTGCTGATAGAACAAACAAGAGGTGTCCACTACAGTTGTCTTGACTGATCCACTCTTCCTTTCGATTCAGGCTTTCATAAGTCCAATTCCTATGCAAACCAATAATGTCTAAATTCACACTGGCACACCTAGGAATATTCCATGGATTCTTTTGCAGAATCACAGGCTTTCCCTTACTTCCTACAAAAGAGGCACAGTCTGAAGCTTGTTATTTTTTTAAAGGCCTTTGCACCCACTTCTCCCTCTCCTATATACTGGAAAACATACTTTTACAAATGCAAAATGTATATACACGTAGCACATGTACAATCTAAGTCACATTACTTTGCTAGGGTTTAAATCAACACAACCAAAGACGTAACGAGCTGAACATCTTTACAGATACGACTTTAAACGATGGTATGTCTGCATTCTGTTGATGCAGAAAATTGTCAGAAACAACCAAGCCTCAAGTCCTGCTATATGTAGAAGGTATAAGAAATCAAATATAGATGCGGCATGTTCCTAGACATGCATCTTTCTCCTACCAGCCCCTCCTACCAGGCCGTTTCAACCGCCCTCTTTTAGTACATTCCCAGCACTCTGTGTGACTTAGGTGACGTTCTCGGATCCTTGCTTTTGGTTCCTAGATCTTAGAGTTATATATGTCTCTCATCAGGTTGGCATGCCCTCGATTCTTAGTTCTGGTAAAGCACAGTACACTAACATACCCCAAAGTTGTTCAATTGTCAAACAGCAGAATAGAGCTTTCCCTCCTCTTGTCTCCTTCCCTTCTTTTCTTCCTTTTCTTTTATTTTTGTTATTTTTAAAGGAAGGAAACTTAATGGGGATGAGTGATTTTTTTTTGTCATTAGAATGAATAAATAAAAATTGTTATTAAGCTAAAACGTCCAAGTTCTGCTACAAGAGAGTGTGTTCATATTAGCCAGAGAAAGGAGTGCTTGTGTTAGAGGAGCCCTCCACTGTTGAATCGGGAAGACCAATGCTAACTTCTACAAGAGAACCCAAGGCTGCACCATTCTTCTTCTAAGACAGATCTGGGACGCGGGTGGGGAGAGGGGTGGGGAGGAGGAGGAAGGACAAAAGGCCAAGGTGAACTAGAGGAGAGACAACAAGAACAAAAGAGACAGGAGAGGGACAGACGGCTCCCCTGGAGGCTTCCCCAAGCTAGGCTCTGCATGGGGAATGTAGAAAATGTTAATGGGATGGGAAATGGGTTGCCTCTTTTCTTTGTACTCTGGGTATGTTTAGGCATAGCTAATAATAAGATGGTGTCCTTCTGGACTGTATTTGCAGGACTTTCCAGATGTTGTGTGTATTATGGTGGAGAAGGAGTGGAGAGGGAACAGGAGTGCTTTTGGAATTTGGAAGTCAGGACAAAAGAAACACATATAGACTCTGCCTTTATGAGCTCATAAAGGGGCCATACGTTAACTTGGAAAATTAAACCCACATAGGATGCAAACAATGGACATGATCCCCAGCTTCCAAGTCAACAGACTCATTTCCTGATCCACCCCTCCACAGTGTATTGTGGGAGACCCAGGGAGATGCTAGCTTCCATCTGCTTTAATTATTTTATGATACATTTCAGAAGGAGATTTGAGATTTCTAAGAATTAGAAATATGGTCCAGCCAGAAAGTTTTTAAAACCCAGGAAGTGGGCTCTTTGCCCACAGCTCTCTGTCTGCCCCAGGAATGGTGCCCATTTGCACCACACTGATTGTGGCTGCTGGGTTTTAATTGGCACTGAACACACGAAGCAAATGGCACAGACTGGGCCCCTTTGAGAGCCGCAGTTGTACGCAAAGAACAGAGAGCAGTTCTCAATCTCAGCTTCTGCCAGGTGGAGGGCTGCCTTTGTTCTTGGGGTGTCCTCTTTCACCTACTTGGCGACAATTCTGGAACAGCTAACTTAGTAACACTCAACCCTGACTGCTCATGAGAATCATCTGTTGAGCTTTGGAAACAGACAAGCACAAGGACTACACCCCCAAATCAAAGAAACTCACAACTGGGGAGATGCAGTCCAGGCATCGGCACTTCTTAAAAGCTTTTCAGGGGATTCTAAAGGAAGGACAAGGTTGAGCCCTTCTAGGCTCTCTGGGAAATTCTGGTTTTTTTCTTTCTGTGTGTTTCTGCCTGACCCTTCCTCCCTCCTTCCTTCCCTCTCTCCCTCCATTTTTTCTCTTTTTTTCTCCCTCTCTCGCTACCCCTCCATTCAAAACATTTGTGACAATGACTTATTTCCCCAAGAACACATCCACTCTCCTTCTAAATACTGAAATGTTTTTTTTTAAACATACAATGTTCTGTTTCCAAGCATTTTCTAGGATTATAGGAGATGGTTTTCAATACGTGTGTTTGTAAAATGATAGGCAGCACTGTTTGGCTTTACCTGTGGGCCAACCTGGCTCTGGCCCTGGTAGAAGGAAGCTAGGAAACAAGTCATGAAGCCAAAGAAACCTGGGGGAATGATTTTCCATTTCTCCTTTCGCCTTGTTGGCACCTGTGCCTACACATAGGGCCGTTTAGGACACCCAGTTCTCCACTCATTCATTAAATAAATATAAATAGATAGACATACACGTAGGTAGATATTTTCAGTCCTAGCGATATACGAGGCTTCATGCTAAGTGCCACACACTGATGAAAAAGAAAATACTTCTCCTTTTAAGTAGCTAAAGTTTGAATATTTCCTTGTAACACAAAGTTTTACATTTTTAAGTGGAAATATTTGTTCTGATTCATAAAGATTGAGTAGGAATTAACAGGGCAAAATAGGGAAAGGGGCATTCTAGGTGGAAGGGAAAACAAGCCAAGGCTCAGAGGTGAGACGTGGGACAAGCCCTTCAGGATCTGCAAGTTGCTAGGTGGGGCTTGCACTTTACTTGGGGTTGAGGACTGGCTGTTGACTTAACAGATGCCTCCCCCGAGGGCATCTGAGGTTTTGCCTCCTGATTTAAAGCCTTACTTTGGCTGGCCCTTCCATCAAAATCTAACTGCACCACAATTTTTTTAAATATGTGTTTTGTGTTTTTCGGTTTGGTTTGATTTTGGGTTTTTTGTTTGTTTGTTTTTTGCTTTTCATTTTGTTTTGTTTTTGTCTCTTTCTCCCCTGCAGGTTGGTGAGCATGGGGTTGGGGTAGGATGGAGACTGATGAATTGAATTCCCATCTGATTCACACGCTATACAACACATACACACACCCTTATCAGGGAAGCTTCTTTCAGGCTCAGGATAAAGGCCTTCGATCTTTAGTAATAAGGCCCCCAAGCCTTCCTGGAGCTGGGCCTGGGAATTTGGATTTTTAAGAGGTTCCCCCAAGTAATCCCATGGTACCACTGCCCTAGTCCCTCAATGCTGACCTGAAGTTCAGAGAACGGTAGCCAGCCAACACTTACATAGCTGTAACAAAAGGTCAAGCATGGCTCAAAGCGCTTTCTAATATTAACTCATTTAACTTATACTATACTCCTACAAAGTGAGCTTATAATTATTTCCATTTTAGAGATAAGGAAACTGAGACTGAGTTCAGGTGACTTGCCCAGCACACAGCTAGTCGGTGGCAGGGTTTGAATAAAGCTAATCTTGATCCACACCCTAGATCTCCTCCCTAAATAGCCAAGGGCACTGGCCACGCAGCACCTGCTGTGCCCCAGTAACCAGTGGTGTGCTGGTGAATGCTCTCCATTGAGGGGAGGAAGCATGATCTGTGGCATTTGCCGATTTTTGTGGGCCAGATGTCACGAAATCAGGAAGGAATGTGCACGATGGACTGTGACGAGCCTGCTCCGGTTCACCGCCGGACACAGCTGTCACTCACTTGTGACTCTGCCTGGTGTCTGTTGGCCACGACAGCCAGTGCCCTCATGAAGGTGCAGGCCAGTGGCTACAGAGGAACAGAAAAGGGAAATCTGTTTCCTAAAACCATGGGCGTGTCCAAAGGCTTTGGAGCTCTAAAGGCATGCCCTGGGTGGGATAATGAGAGGGCCCAGGAGTTACATGCTCGGGCTTGGACAGCGCGTTAGAGCGGTCAGCCACCTTGGGCCTGAGGTCAAGGGTGAGAGCCTGGAGGCCTTCCTGCCCCCAAATATCTTTCTCAGTGACCTCCCCGCAAGTACTTTCCTTTGCCTCAGCCACCTCCACCCTTCTCTCTCTCCCCACCCTAGGTCAAGTACAGGTCTGCGGATTCTGAGAGAGCATTTCCTTCTCTACCACTCACTATTGGCCTGTCGCCCTTCCCAGAGCTAACTTAGGGGATCTGTGAGGAGCCCCCCAGCACCTCACAGCTGTCCTGGGCTTGGAGACTCAGGTGAGGAGCAAGACGCATGATGATTCTGTGTGCTGTTATTTCAGGTACCAGCAGTGCTTCTATGGGGTCAACCTGTCCAGTCTGCGGAGTGCTGCCGTGGATGAATACTTCCGACAGCCAATAGTAGTAAGTGTGTCCTCTACAGACTTTCTCCTGTGTATTTATCTGTTGATTCATTCACTCACTCACTCATGAACCTGAGATGCACTGTACTGCCAGGCTGTGTGCAAGCCATCACAGAAGAGCACCGTGTGTTCAAGTCCTCCAGCTCCGATCTCCCACTCAATTAAGAGAATTCTCAGAGAATGATACTGTTGAAAGCAAGGAGATTTGGGGACTGCTTTTCAATAAGTAACTTGTAATTCTCCTACTGCTCAGATCCACCCACGCACACACTCAACCCTCATACTTGTTCAACAATTCACATCCTCCCATTGATTCTGGTGGCCCAAGGCATCATTGAAAGGGAAGCATTGTAAATAAATAGCTTAGAACAGGAGCTTAGCTGTCAAACAGATGTGGGTTTCAGTTGTGGCCCCATCTAGCTGTGTGACTTTGGACAGCTTTAAGTTTGCATTATCTGAAACGCCTTCAGATGTAAGTGAAAGGAAACCCAACTCAAACTGGCTTAAGCTAAAATGGATTTACTGGTCCTCAAAAATTGCAAAGCCTAGAGATAAAGCTTGTTTCATGGACCTGATGTAGCATTTCAAACAGTGTCACCAAGATCTGATTTTTCTATCCTCATCACTTATATTTCCATTTCCTCTGAATTAACTCTGTTCCTAAACAAGATCTCCCTACATGGTAACATGACGACTGTGGAAACTCCAGGCTCAGATTCTTACAACTCTAAGTCCCACAAGACAGCCTGCCTTTTCCTAATAACTTGGGCAAAAGCCCCAGAATTAGGTTAAATAGAGCCCGATTGTCCTACCTTGGGTCATGTGCCCATCTATGAACCAATCACTGTCTTCAGGGGTGAGGGTGAACTAAGTTCCTATGGAACTTCTGGGAATATGGAAAAGAGATAAATTCTGGGTGGTCAAAAGACACCAAATGTCTGCTCCAGAGAATTTGTGAAGATTGATATAACCTGGGAAAGCACAAAGCACTTAGTGGTTGGTATATAGTAACCAAATAAACCACCAAATAAATGTTAGCTTTTATTACTAATATTATTCTCATTAGGCTCATGGCTTCTAAATTCTAGCTCTTATTAACTTAAAATTTCAGGAGGAAAGCTAGACTGAAATCTTGTTTGAGTTCAGTTTACCCTGACAGAAAGAAAACATCTTTGTGTTTCTTTTTTTCCCAAGGACACATTTGACATTAGAATTTTGATGGCTCGATCGGTCAAGTACACAGTAAACTTTATGGACGCGGAAGAGGCAGATCTCCACAGGTTTGTACCAGTCAATGTTGCTCTGGATTTTTAAATCTCCTCTCCACCTCCCCCACCCCTAAAACTTGAGTGCAGCACTTTACTGCTCACTGGGAAGAGATTTTAGGGGTGAATCACACATAGGAATGGTGCACCAGTACTAGTTTCATCTGTTGCAAAATAAGGATAATTATGCTTCCTTTATAGGATTGTTTTAAGAATTGAATGAGTAAAATGCAATAGTAATAGCTTGTACTTAGGTAGCCAGATACTGTTCTGAGCCCTTTACATAACGACTCATTTAATACCTACTACAACCCTCTGCAAATAATACTATTGTTATCCCCATTTTACCAATGAAAAATATGAGGCAGAGTGGGACAATAAATTGCCTAAGGTCACAGAATTAATAAGTGTTGTGAGAGCTAGGATTTGAACTGTTCAGAAGGCTCCAGAGTCTGTGTTTTTAACCATTCACCCAGGCCAGTGCCCAAAATAATGACAAAAAGAGCTACAGCCTGTTGAGTGCTTACTACACACTAAGTACTATGCTAAGTATTTTACAGGTGTTGGCTTATTTTCAAAGAGGGCACTCAATAAATGCTAGTGTTTGCCCTCTTTTCCTCTACTTGAGGCTGTAATGAAGACTCATTTCTCAGATGGTGCTGATTCCTCTTTGGCTGAACTTTTACTAGTATTTTGCCCTTTTCTTCCTAAGAGGAAGATCAATATTCATATATTTTCCTGGGTAAGAAACTTAAGACCCACCCAGGTTATAATTGGCTTGGACTACTGAGGAAGTAAGGGTCAGACTTTAGAAGATGCAGCTAGCTAACTCCAACTATCATCTATCTTGAGACCACAATGGACAACAGATGCTGTATCAGTCAGGATAGGCTAGAACATGCTGCAATAACAAAAAGAAACTTCAGCAGCTTATGATAACTCAGGTGTCTCTCTCCCCTACACTCTTTACCCACTGTGCACCAGCGTTATCGCTACACAGTATGACCCACCCCAGCAATCAGACTGGTGCGGCAGTGTCTGCCTGGAATGATCCGATTACTGAATGGAAAGAAGGAGCATAGCAAAGTATGTACTCGCAATAAAATCTTGTGCCTGGAAATAACACCACTCACTTCTGTTCACATTTAATTGGTCAAAGTTAATCATGTCGCAGTGCCTAAGCTCAAGTGAGTGGATAAATGCAATCCTGCTATATGCTCGGAGCAAGTGAACTGGTGTTTGGGAACAACCCTAGTAACTGCCGCAGGTCCAGCCAAAAATGACTTCGATGGGCTTCATTTGCTGCTCTCAGCTACCTCCTGAGTTCCAGGGAATTTTTGAAAATTTTATCTATGTTGGCTTTCCAGGGATGTCATCTATTCATCTGTGCATTGACTCAACAAATGTGTATTGACATCCTGTGGTGTATGCATAGGTACAAAAAGTAATTTTTTAAAGTCTACTCTTGAGGAGCTAGCTAATAGTCCATTTAGGGGAATGCCAAAAAATGGGAGGAAATAATTATAATGCAATACCAGCAAATTCAATGTGACAAGTACAATGGGAAACTCTAGAAATGCTCTGACTGCTGCAGAGTGGGAGAAGTTAGACTTTTGGGGTCACCATAAATGCAAATAATTACAACGTATTTTGAAGAGCACTTTCTAAAAGAAGTCCCCTTGGAATGATACAGCCCCAGTGATGGACCCATAATATCACCTTTTAATTGTGAAACTAAACTTTAAAGTTTGCAAAGCACTCTCATGTATTATACATTGTTTTTTATTCTCATTTGACATTCACAAGAATTTTGAGAAAGAAGTAGGAAGAGATTTTGTTACCCTTTAACAAATGAAAAAACTGAGGTTCAGAGAATTTAAGTGCCTTTCCAAGGTTCCACAGCTAAAACAGGTCCGGCATCAGATTTTGTTTTATCTTCTCCAAAATTCTTTCTATTTCCACTTATTCTGCATTTGACATATACCACAGACACTTCTGCATCACTTTTGCTGTAGCTGGTGGGAAGTTAAATTGGCTCCCTGAAAAATAAATGAACCATGACAAAGACCTTCTGAGCTTGATGTTACCTTGTGAGCCACTTCCTTTTTTAGAGGCCTGAACAGCCCTTCCATTTGAACAGCTGTGTAAGGGATCTGCCGCTGCCTATGTTTTGGCTCCGTGAAGGATGGTTGTCACCTGCACCCTGAGTCTTCCTCCTCTTCAGTAGTCAATCCCAGCCCCAGATGCGCCACTCGCCCAGTGGCGTTCTGGGTCATTGCAGCACAGAGGTGTGGTCCTTGCTGGATTTTGTCAAGAAGCACCATTCCCAAATGTGCATCGTTACCCAAGCATTAATCACACTGAGAGAATCTTGCTGCCAAAGCATAAGTGCTTAAGAGAAAAAGAAAATATTTTGTGAATGTTCCTTCCCACTGATGTTAACAAAAAAATGTAATGCCAAGTGTCTCTTCTTTCTTTTTTGTTTCCTTGCAGAGTAGAAATCCCCTTTGTGTTTCAGATGGCGCAGTCTGGTCTCATCCACGGCCTGGCTTTCTGGTTTGATGTGGCCTTTGTGGGATCTCTGTACGTATCACTCTCCTCTGTCACCTACTTGATCCCACGCTGTCCTCTACGATTTGGAAGCATAACTTCCAACTTTTAAAAGTTAATTCCAACAATGATAATATTGGTTTCTATGTGTTTCAGGAAAATAAGCACTGATGTTCATGTTACTTTTAGATTTTAGGGAAAAGTGAACATGAGACGGTTTTCCAAAGCGTTATATCAACTGTGGCTAAAATACTGTAAAACTGCTGAAGCCACTTGGGTTGGGATTTGGAGGAATGAGAGAGGGTCTGTGCTTTATCATCCCTCTTGTTCTTTTCCAGAATAGCCTGGCCTTGGCTTCCATCACACCTGGCTATAGAACCTCTTATGTCTGGGTTAATACCTCAAGCCATACTTTCTCCCATTTTGATTTACAGCCTTCTGTTTTACAGTCTAAAATTCTTTTCTAATGATCAGACAGGCAGGTGTTATGAATGCTAATTGCAACATTGGTAACTTCTCCATCCATGCACTCCTTTTTCCTTACTGCAAAGGTATGAAAGTTGCAGGGCTTTAAAAGAGAAGAAAGACCACCTACAGGTTGTCTGTTAAGGTTTGGTGTTCCTTGTAAGGGCTGAGCCACTCCCACGACCCCAAATCTCTGCTCTCTCCCTGACGTCCCTGCTTTCTTCCCAGGCCTCCTCATGTGTTCCGACTAGCAGAGATTTGATCTGAGTCACATGACCAGGCAAAAGGAAAACTTACAGTACACGCTCCTCCACTCCTTATAAAAACATCCAGGCCCACTTTTGTGCCTGCTGAAAAAGAAGTGCCCATGGGTCTGTGGTAAAGCTCAGGGGTTTGGGGGGACTCAGGATAGAAGGGGATCCCTGGAAGCCTTGTCTGGGCTTGATGATCAGAGAGAAAGAAAATGGCATGCAAGCCATCCCTACACCACATAAGCATGCCTGTTCAAAGAATCCATACGTTGTTGTTTTTTCCCTCAGACTTTCCCCAGTAATATCCCAAGTAAATGAATTTGGTCCTGCCAAGGTAAGGGAGATAAGCTAAAAGTAGCCTGCTTCCAGGGGGATATTTCTTTGAAGTCAAATGCTTTATCTTAAAAAGCTGTAGATAATTTGCATTCTACTCCATAATATAGATGAATATCTTTTTATTTAAAAGTGGTTTATATTACTTAGTAGTTAAATTATATAACACCACACCACCTCCCCCCCCCCCCCCGCCCTGCCACAAATCTTCAAGTCCAAATGGACCCTCTAGATATTTATCCCGTGTCTAAGTGCTCCCTACTCCCTATAAGCCAAAATCACTGCCTAACTCCAGGTCAGGTGAGCTCGGTGTTCGAAGCACAACAAGATGTTCTTCGTATAAAATGAAGAACTTTAATTTAAACACACACACACCAACGGATGCAGGAGGTCCGAGCTGGAAGGGCGGTAGAGGCCGTGGGCCCCAGTAGTTCTTCTTGCTTCCAGAGCCTCTTCGGGACTCCTGAACGGGTTGGCATGAGACAGTCAAAGACCAGACTCTAGACTTCTCACCCTGCCAGACCTTTCAAACAGATCAGTTGCCAGTTTCACTGTTACTTACTGGGTTTCTCCTGAACTTTGATTCAGAGATACAGATTGGTAGGATGGCCAAGTCCATGGGTTTGAAGCCTGGCTCTCCACTTGTCCTCTGTGTGATGTTGGGTAAATACTTTAACCTCTCTGGGTTTAGTCCATAGGATTGTTGTGTAGATTTAATGGGCTAATATACATAAAGCTCTTGGTATAGTACCCAGCACATAATAACTGCTTAACAAATCGAGGTATCATTACCTTAAAAGAGTTTCATGAGTCAAAAACAATGACAATTACTTATCCACCTAAATCCCCAGTCTAATCCATTAATATACTAAGCATGGAACGGAATTTGATTTCAACTCTTTTCTTGCCCTACAGGGTAACGGTGTGGCTGTCAACAGCCCCAACTGAGCCGCTGACCCACTGGTACCAGGTGCGCTGCCTTCTTCAGACTCCTCTCTTTGCCAAGGAAGGAGAGACCCTCTCAGGAAAAGTGCTGTTTGTAGCCAATAAACGGTAAGCAGGGAAGCACAGACATGATCTCCCCCCTCTGCACATGGGGCACTGACAGATGTGAGCTGGCAGGCCCGTGAGACTCCAGCACCGAGGAGTGGACAGCAAGCTTTCCAAAGGCCTGCCAAGTTTGCATAGGTGCCCTCAGTTACAGAGCCTCAGGGCCCATGTCACCCATAAACTGAATGTGGCAAGGAAGAAGGGCTTCGGGTAACTCAAGGGCAGTGTTCTCCACCTGACCATGGAGGAAGGAAGAAAATCCATCAGCTCACAGGAGTGCTTGCCAAAGGTTTGAATTATCAAGTGCTTTAAGGCCCGTGTCAGCTGTCAGCTCCCTGGCCTTACTTACATCTGTCTAGCCACACACCCCCAATTTAGTGCAGTAAAATTGATCTGCGCTGCAGGGGTGGTGTGTGGTGCGTCATGCAGGACTGGCTGCTTCCCTCTGGTAATGGATTTCAAGAGGTCTCTGCAGCAATTACTTTGATTTATCTCATTTTTAAAATGCTCTATTTGCTTTCACCTGGTTGGAGCTTCTCCTGGGTGAATTAGAGGAGAGAGGAGGAGCGGATGGTTCAAGGACTCTCGGGATATGAAGGTTACTCAGAGGTCATCTCATTTAATTTTCTTCCTCCCTACCTTCTGCCCTTCATTGGGCCTGTGCTTGAACACTCCAGTGACAGAGTGCTCGCCTCCTCACAAACCAACCCTTCCATTTTTAAAGTCTTTATTTCTTTAATTACCAAAACCTAACATGCTCACGTATAAATTCAAAACTGCAGAAGCATCTAGAGTTCACTCACACTCCCACCCTTTACCCTGCTCCCCAGATGTGACCCCTTGGTCCATATCCTTTCAGGTGATTTGCTGTGCATATACCAACAAATAACATCTTCATGGGTTTGTTGCCTGATTACAAGATTACACTAGCAGTTCTGCAATTTAAGATTTCACTTAGTAATAAGCCCTGAATCTCCTGATAGATCTGCTTTGTTCTTTTAACAGATGCATAATAGTCAAGGGCATAGATTACCTTAATGTCTTTCATTTTAATTAAAGTTTATTGGGGTGACAATTGTTAACAAAACTACATAGGTACAATTCTGTAAAACATCATCTAGATATCACATTGTGCATTCACCACCCAGAGTCAGTTCTCCTTCCATCACCATATATTTGACCCCCTTTACCCTCTTCTACCATCTCCCCCTTCTCCTCTGGTAACCACTAAACTGTTGTCTGTGTCTATGAGTTTTTGTTTCTTTCTGTTTGTCTTGTTCCTTTATTGCCTTCAGTTTTATATCCCACATATGAGTGAAGTCATATGGTTCTCAAAATTTCACTTTGCATAATAATCTCATCTTTTCTTATGGCAGAATAGTATTCCATTGTGTGTGTGTGTGTGTGTGT